AAATCCCCCAAAATAGAAAAAAAAAATCGAAAAAAATAGCGGATTTTGTTTTTTAATTGAAAATAATTGCAAAAAACTCAAAAAACATTGGAAAATCCCCCAAAAATCTGTCAAAAATATAGCAATAAAATCGCAAAAAAAGCACACAAAGCCAAAAAAGAAATCCCCCAACAATCTGAAAAAAATTGCTAAAAAAAAACCACAGAAACCCCCCTAAAATTGTGGAAAAAATAGGGAAAAATCGGGAAAAAATCCCCCAAAAAATCGTTCAAAACCTCTAAAAAAAAGTCAAAAAATGGAAAAAAAAAATCTCAAAATAATCCCAAAAAATCCTGAAAAGATCGCACAAAACCCCTAAAAACAAAACCCCCAAAATGGCCAAAAAATAGCAATAAAATGGCAATAAAATCATGGGAAAAAACACTTTTTTTTCCCAAAATTCTCTTTTTTTTTCCCAAAATCCCTATTTTTTTTCCCAAATTTTTTTGCAGTTCCACCGCACACCATCATCCAAACCGAGTTCTACCAGAAAACCCTCGATTCCCGGGTGGACGGCGGCGAGTTCATGTTCTCCAAAAATGAATCCCCAAAACTTCCCCTCAAAGAATCCTTCAAAAAGTGTCCAGAAAATTAAAGAAAAATAGGGAAATTTTTTTTTAAAAACCGAAAACAATCACAAAAAATCCGAAAATTATCACAAAAAAACCCTCAAAAAACCGCAAAAGCCCCCAAAATCCGGCAAAAAAATTGGCAATAAAATCGCAAAAAAAGCACACAAAACCAGCAAATAATTCCCCCAAAAATCCCAAAAATATTGGCAAAAAAAGGAAAAAAACCCCAAAAAAATTGTGAAAAAAAATCCCCAAAATAGCACAAAACCGCTAAAGACCCGCCAAAAAATGGGAAAAAAATGGGCAAAAAATTGCCAAAAAATCGCAATAAAATCACAAAAAATCGCGTAAAAATCTCATTTTTTCCCAATTTTTTTCTAAATTTTTCCAACTTTTTCCCGAATTTTTCTCCAGTGCCTCCGCACACCATCATCCAAACCGAGTTCTACCAGAAAACCCTCGACTCCCGCGTGGACGGCGGCGAG